CGTATAAGGGGAAGATATACCTCGACCAAGATATGAAGAATGGCGTGCATTATAATCATGCAGCAGAAATTACATCAGTACAGTAGCTTTGCTGTACCGTTTTGTGACCATGTTTATTCCTAAATAGAATGATATGCCTGGGGGGGGGGGGGGGGCGAGAAACAGTAGGATACCAATACCTCTTGCATGATGCCAATGTTCATCCGTCTCAAAATTGGGACGCGACCCATTCAGTTTTCTATCATACAGTTGCACGATTATTGACGCACTGCAATGATCGTCATTGATGGTATTGCTCTGTGTGAACTGTTTTACTCCAGTTAGTGCTTCAGTATGTGTTAGAAGATTGCTCATTTCCGCTAGGAGTACATTGTCGACGAGGTGATTGCAGCTGTAATTATGTCCTAATGATTATTGTGGATGAAAATCATATTATGATGATAATATGGATCTCATTAGGCGCCCATTTACAGAGGGTTATTTATCAGAATTGCATGTAGAGTTACAGCACAGTTTTACTAGCTCTACCATACACAATTAGGATTTATATGGAATATATGTTACAGGCCGTATGAAAACTCAGTCCGTTTGCAAACGGCCTGGCCCGATTCAGGCCGTTTGCAAACGGCCTGGATAGCCCAGTCAGTATGCAAACGGACTGAAAAGTCAGGCCGTTTGAATACGGGCTGAAATTCCAGGCTGTATGCAAACCGCCTGAAATTTCAGGCCGTTTGCAAACCGTCTAGGCCGTATGACAACTTTCCAGACACCAGGCCGTTTGCAAACGGTCTAGGCATTTTGAAAACAATCTGGTCTGCATAAAGTTACAGCTGGACAATGTTGAGTTTGTTGAAGCACGACCGTTTCATGACATTACATGGCACCTTGAAATCCTGAGGTGCATTCGGCATCCGGAAAAATATTGTCACTCGGATATTCTCCGTCGGAAAATTATTGTTGAGCGCCTATCTTCAGCATGTCTCGTTATCGCGATACCGTTCGTGATCCCCGATGATTCTCGCTAGTTCCGGAAAATTATCCCTTCCCGATGACGAATGCAGGCCTGGTCAGGAAGAGATTAGCAGAACTGAGACCCGGCCCGTATAGCGCCCGGTCGACCTGGGCTTCCCCCGACTTCAAAGTTTCGCCTTCCACCGCAATGGTCAAGTATTGCCGGCGTACGCCACCGCGCCGGCCAGCCGCCGGCGGTCGACCGGGCGCGGTGAGGACTCTAATGTGAACCAGTGGCGCGGGAACTTCTTCCAGACTGGGGGGGGGGGGGGCTGAACCATAATAGAGATCAACCTAGGGTACCCCCAAATCTAGTTTTCTCACCGGTTTTAGGCCACTTATTTTTCAGACCTTGGCCTTTTCAACAACAAAAAAAAAACGAAAATATTTGCAAAAAGTCAGGTATTCCGTCTCAGCTGGGTGAAGAAACTACCGTTTTGGCAGCCTGGAATAAAGGTTTTAATCTGCCAAATGAGTTGCCGAGCCAGTGGAAGAGGTGGATTTTTCACTTACATGCTTTCTTCCTTAATGACCCACAACCCCTAATTTGGGGAGGACAAGCTGCCCCAACGGTTCCTGACCTCATTAAAAGTTGTGGGGCACCGCCCCCACGGCCCCAGAGCTGTGGGAGCAAGCTTCCCCCACTGCCCTCTCCCGCCCGGTTCCCGCGCCTATGTATGAATGTATGAAAGTATGTTGGTAAATTTCCGGTTTCGATTCCTCCAGCTGGGGGGGGGGGGGCTCAAATACATTACGAGCCCCCCCCCCCCCAGTCGAAAAGTTGGAGAGGCTCAGTCCCGCTAGCCCCCTCCCCTCCCCCCCCCCGGTTCCCGCGCCACTGCTGTGAACTCTGATGTCTAATGCGCGCTCCGGCGTTTTATGCCGCAAATAATCGGTGAGTCTTGTAGTGATACGTTTCACCAGACCTCACCACACCAGTAGTGGCTTCACCAGGCTCCATCAACTGGATGGCCGTACACAGGCGGGCCGTGAACTTGTATAATTAGTAATATTGTCGAAAAACGGCCGGGCCGAGCATCAACACAGTAAGAAAATGTTCGACGTATGTAGACGAGTCATTCGGCATGGAATGCGCAAGCATTCACATGGATGCAACCTGATCATCGACCAACCTGGATCCATTAAGTTCAATCTTCAGAGGCTGTTGTACTTCGCCAGACCGTTTGAAAACTGACTAGGCCGTTTTCAAACTGTCTAGGCCGTTTCAAACTGCCTAGGCCGTTTTCATACGGCCTGATATTTCAGGCGGTTTGCAAACGGCCGGCTTTTCAGGCCGTTTTCAAACGGCCTGACTGGGCCAGGCCGTTTGCAAACGGACTGGGTTTTCATACGGTCTGTAACATATACATAGGCGGGCATAGAAACTTCAAACCGTTGCCAAACTGAGGTAGCAGAGCGATGGAATCCTGGTAGAAAAGGACCGTGAATCTCTCCGTCACTCCAGCAAGACTTCTTACATACATGGGATGGTCTTGGTTTGGTGCGTGCAGTACCAGGCAGGTCGGTGGGCTGTATCCACCTTACACGCCATCATTTCTTTAGAAATCATCCCGACACTTTCGGAAAATTGGCTATCGAGCTCTACAATCCAGTTTTCAAGTTACGCACGGCAAGATTTGCTTTCAGTAGGTCAGTTTGTTATGACGATTCATCACGGGCGGGCAAAGATTATGCTGTTATTTTGGCTTTTAAAACGAGATCAATCAATTCATAGTGGCTTGGCATGGACTTTCGCAAATCCATGCAGCCCATAACATAAAATGAAGCTCGCTGTCACATTAGACGAAAACATCATATAATAACTGGTTAGAATTTGCAACGACATTCCTGGGAAGTGGAAGGCCTGAAATAACAGGCATGATGCCGAATGCCGCATGTGCCTCCATCAAAATGGCGCTGACCTATTCTACCGATTGCAGGCAATGGCCAGTTCTCTCCTCGTAATTATGGCATCGAGCAGTACAGCAATGGCCAGGATGGGAAAACAGAATCTGAAACCTTTCTTTATCAACAAATTTAATTCTCATCGATGAGTTGGGGCCCAATTTCCAGAATGAGCTGTCCACAGATTTCGTTTATGCTGTATTTTATTACCACAAAACCCAAGTTGTGTTATTTTGTGTTATCCATTAGACCCATGGTTAGCCTGGACTCATTTCTACCCGTCCATGATGCGGTTTCATTGATAAAGCGACTGATTCGCTGAAGGAGACGCCCACTGCTGGAATCGACCCAGCCATCCGAATTCGCAGATGTTCGTATTCCTATCGATTTCGTTAGTTTGGTCCCAGTGGCACGACTCGGCTACGAGTTATAAGCAGGCATAATAACGCAGTCGTTGCCGTAAACGAGCTAGTCATACATTGTGAGAAGGCCTCTAAATGACAGAGTCCAGCGCGGACCTGTCCCCGGCTGACGGTCAGGGCAGGTCTGGGCAGCCGGCTGTGATTGTTGGTCGTCAACGAGGGTCATTGTATTGGGGCGCTTTGCGGGATTACGGGTCTGTGAATCAGCACTGGTAGACAGTAGTAGATGCGCCGTATGGCGCTGCTTTCGGTGGGGTCAGGTGGGTATAGCTAGCTCTGCCTCGCTTAGGCCCAAACGGGAACGGGGGAAACCAGGGTCCTGTTTCACCGGCACTGGCAGCGCGCTGCCAGCGCATTTTGCGAGCTGACGTGTCATACTTTGCGGTAAAGGAGATACGAATTTGTTGATGTTTCCATGGAAGCCCAATTTGACACGCGTGCTGACAACGCGCTGGCAGCGATCGACGGTCGTGAAACAGGGCCCAGTGCCGTGCGCCGCACACTGACAGGTGCGGGTCTGAGGGAGGCATCAGGCACAAACTCTACCCACAGTGCGCTGACCACCACCTTTTGCCTTGTCCAGCTCTCGCGGTTAGAATAATGACGCTTCGCTTAAAAATCGGGCTCCCGAACAAACACCAGCAGGCGACAAAAATTGGAGCTGTCCAGCATGAATGTTTCCTCATCAAAGGACAAATTTCAAACCTCGGCTCTACGAAATGGGAGGGAAAATGACGGGCCAGCCCGCAAGTGTACAACGGCAGCGGAAAGTAGCTACCCGTGGCGTCCTCAGCCGAGCGTAACTGCCTTAATCAGGCATTGGTGGAAAAATGGAAATGGTGTTATTTGTTGGTCATCGGAATTTGCAGGTGGTCAGGTGCCGCGGCCAGGGCTGATCGGCGTATAACACACGTCACGAGGTATGTTTGACATCTGATAAGGACTGATTGTCTGATGAGGAAAGTAAAAGCCACCGCAAATTTGTACCAATTGAAATACCGCAAACGTGTCAAGTGGGCATGATGCATACCGGTATGGAACCTCGGTAATTATAGTGTTAGAGTCACGGGTTTGGCTCCTTGATGATGCCATGACATGATATTACGCCACTTTGGCTACGTGCGGTGCGTGTAACTCGGTTGTTGAAACTGCAGCGTTTGATGTGGGTTGACGTGGCAGCTGCAGCTGTGGGCTGTGAGCTGTGGCCTGTTTTGGGGTCAAATATTGGGTTGGGCACAGGGCAGGATATAGAAGCTGATCAGGATGATAGCCATTCTTCCTTTTCTGATCATTTTACGCCATATTTTTTCAACTTTGTCGTAAAGCCAGATGTGAATGTGCATTTAGAAAAGTGTGATTGAAATAAACATTTAGCATGCACATGAAGACAAAATGCGCCTATCGAAACGATGGTGCGATTTCACTGAATTGCAAACAAGGTAACCAAGTGAACAAGTGACAAAGTAAATAAGTGAAAAAAATCAAAACAAGATCACAAAAAAATGACAGAAACGACACAAACTCACATAGTTACACATAGAATGGCAGTGCAATGGTCAGGGTACAGCGTAACCTGACCGTTACACAGCTCGCACTGTAATCTGGCCAGCTATACGCTGTAACCGTCGCGCCTTGACCTGACCTCCCCCGCCCCTCCCCCAGCTGCTGATGCCCGGCCAGCCGAGCGCGCCGAGCACGCCCGGTACGCCGAGCACGTCGTGCTGCGAGACGGGCCGGCCGGTGGCCACTGACCCGGTGACCGGTCAGGCCATCTGCTCGTGTCAGTACGAGGCCGGCGGCGGCGGCCGGTCGGGCGCACTGTGCGGCTACCCGCGGCTGCCGGCCGGCACGGCACTACCCTACGGGCCGGCGTACTCGAGCGGCGGCGACCAGGGCGCCTACCCCGGCATCGGAGTCGATAGCTCCTACTTCGCCTTCGTGAGTACTTGACGTATGCTGTACTTTGGGAGGGTAAGCGATGGGGAAAGGTGCTCGATGTACTCAATCAACTCACTTCAGGTGCAGGGGTATCAAGTGTAGAGCATCAACTAACCACCCTCACTCACTCCCAGCGGCCAGCTTTTTTCGTTTTCATAAAAATTAGCACATCGGAAAAGTTTCCCAAGGAATTGCTATTGCTTACCTGACACTTGATTCAGTAGAATTGAAGGCACTTACTCAGGGCGAGGGTATGACTAACCAGGATGTTTCTCTTTTTTTCACAATCTTTATACAAATTGTAGCGAAAGGTGTATGTTGATAAGCAGTGCAATGATGTAACAGGTTAGATAAAGCAGCGAACAGGTGGGACATTTCAGCCGCCTAACAGGTTTAGGTTTTTGAAGATCAAGAATGCGCACTCTTCATGACTTTTCGGATTTCAATTACCAACATATTAGTGGTAATAAAACAATGCCACATAAATGCACAATAAAGCACCTTACCGTTTGTGTGTAGCACCAGCTGGCAGCTAATGCCGTTTGTTGTTTCCACGTTATTATCAATCCTGCTACCTATCAGTTATTTGAGCGATGATTGTGTGCGTTTGATGTTTCCGACAAATCCACCTCAGTAAACAGAACAGAGACCAGGGCCAGGAAGATGACATTTGCCAGAGCCCCGGCCTTTATCTGAGTCTATTGTGTCTGTGGGCCACGTGCTCTTCTGTAACAATTGACGAAACATGCCAGTTTAAAGTAAACATAGGATTGTTAGGCCGAAATCGGTCTATTTTTCTCCTAACCAGTGTCTGATTATTAGATGAAAATGATCCGCATCGTTAAAATGAGAGTGATGAGTGATGACAAGTAATATGGTCGTCAATGGTAACGGGTATAGTATTCTAATTCGTCAGTGCACCATGTATGATTGCGTCCGTAATTGAACATAAAAATTTGGAAATAATGCCCGTACAAAGTTAATTTGCCGCCAATTCGCCATGCGAAGTTGAGGATTTGGTCATAGAGGAACAACGAGCCATTCACAGGAGCTCGGCTGTGCTCCGTAACTCCAATGAATGTCAGCACAGACCAAACATCGTGGAACCCTCCCATATCTTCCGTTTACTTCACTTTTGTATCGGCCTCTTTCAGTTCATTCGACCAGTTCATTCAGGAAATTGGCTCTTTTCTTCGAGCCGCCCTACCGAGAGACAGCGGCCAGACTCATATGAAACTGATCCTCTCTTTTGGCTATCTCTTTTGAGAGGCGTCATTGGTCATAATCGCAATTTGTTTGAAATATGTAGAAACACAATTGGTAAAAATTGTTTTTTTTCTATTGAAATCTACTTCGACCAGTCCTGTGGAGAGCCTTGCCAGTCCAGTACCGTCAGCCATTTCTTCTCGAGGTCCTGGTCAGTTCCGCCCACCCCTCCATGACTTGGGAAACAGTTCCATCGGCCAGTCCCGTTGGAAGACTGGCCCTCATCAGCCCCCTCAGCGGCTGTCTGCTCGACCGACAGTTCCTCACAGGCGGCCGACCCGGTCAGGACAGGCCGACAGTGAGGGGTTCACAGGCCGCCAACCCGGTCAGGCCGGGCCGACAATGAGGGGTTCACAGGCGGCCGACCGGGTCAGGACAGGCCGACAGTGAGGGGTTCACAGGCGGCTGACCCGGTCAGGCCGGGCCGACAAAGGCGGAACACACCGGATACCGGCCGGACCAACGCCGGATAACAGACCTCCGGTCGGTCGGCAGCCGGCCACTGGCGGCGCGTCTCATGTCCCACTGTTCCAGTAATCTTTGTGCGTCTCAAAGGGCCATGCTCCAAGGCCGAAACGGGTCAGTCTCGACCGCCACGGGTCAGGGTTTGGCGTCTGGGAAGGGACTGCAAGCTTATGTGATAGGTATTCTATGGTAAGCTCAAAACTGAGGTAGCATTGGCGTATCAATTGGCCAGCCATCCGGGAAAGTTTTGATCATCCCAGTTTTGATCAGAACGGTAACGACGCTCGGAGATCTATATGTCCTAGTAGCTCTTCTTATATATTAGCGGTGTCCCGTCCTGAGTGGTCACAAGACCGTCAACGCTGGTCCACAATGTCGGTCACGTGATCAAACGTACTTACCAGAGCTGATCCATCATCCGTCATCCACCAGCGAACAGCAGCAGTCTGAGGTCGGTTCAGACTGACGTTCTAACCCAAACAGTACAGAAACGGGCGCGCAGAGTTCAGAAGCTCCCGGTCAAGTGTTACGACCGGTAAACACTCAACTAGGCCCGTTTGATGTAAAACGTCAATCTCTATGCTATCCCGTGACCAGGGAGCCCTGTGTTTATACCGTGCTCTGTATTTACGTCTGTTAAAATTTGTATGTCCCAGTAGCTCGGTGGTGGGCGCCCACCAGCCGGCTCGTTGACGCTCTGTGACCTGTGTGAGGCGTGCTTTAGCTGCGCCTGAATGCAACTCGCAATATGCTGTACCTACCTATAAAGTTATTTTATCCTCGATTAGCTGCTTACCCACCTACATAATTTGCCGATCCAACAGTTAGGTTTATGATCACTGTTACACTCCATGGCCTAATCTTATAAAATGCCGTACTATTCTATTCAGTATTCACGGCATTTGGTATACCAGTGACGACAAACGGCTATCTGATGAGTCAGCGAAATGATTCGTTGGACCGTCAACATATGATGGACTGAAATGCGTGAAAACCATTTTGCATTTGATAGCCGTTTTCTACAGCAGAACTTCAGTCAGTGCTGCCATATCCATTCTACGGCGTTTATAAGATTGATCCCAGGACGTAGTTTTGAGTTTTGATCAGGGACCTTGGTAGATATATTTTATTCAAAGAAGAAGAAAATGGCAAACAGGTACATAAATTCGGTATGCTTAAAGGGAGATAATGAGCTTTCTTTTTTCTTAAATAGAAATTACTCGACATCTATACTATTTCTACTGTAGTTTCTATAAAATATGAAAATTTCCTAGCACATTTTCGTATGTGAAAAAGGTTTTTATTTTTGCAAAAAAGAAGCAGTACTTGCAGTACTTGTAACACCCACCGAAATGCGTTGTCCTTCTCTATAAAAAAGTCGCAGTATATGGCGCTTTTGTTTCAAACAGCGACGCTTGGGTTTTTGTTTATGTTATCGCCTTGTCGTTGCTTGGTTGTAAGGATTCTAATTTGAATTAGAGTTAATTCGGTTTAGAATTAATTAGATTCTAATTCGGGGGTACATAGTGCCTACTCTTCTTTGTTTCCAAGTATTATTTTGCGCCACAAATGAACGGCATGCGCCAGAAACGCAGCCAAATCTTGCGATTGCGACTACGAAATTAATTATTTTGGCGTCAGAGCCTGAAGCGAAAAATACAAGCATATTTATTTCAAAAAGACTTCAGGTTTGTCGAACGGTGTTATGAGAATTTTGATAACAGTACTGTATAAGTTTTTCAGTGATGCCGCAAAAGTGTTGTATCTATCTTCTTTTATTGTGCAGTCGGCGGGACCGATTCAAAATTGAGTCGTTGCTATTAAAATAGCAGCATATGGCGTCAGATGATGAACAGGAAAAATAGTTGCGTAAATTTAGACATAAACCACCCCCAAACCATGAATATCTTTTGAAGGCACTATAGACGACCATTAACTAACTAGATGTGATGAAGATCAAATGTAAGGAATACGCTCATTTTACAAAATTACATGCAAGTACCAAAAAGTGATGTAAGTACTTATTCAACGGTCATTTTCAGCGCTCCCCGCTAACGTGACTTCAAGTTGAGATATTTGCGGCAAGGTACCGAATTGAGCAAAATGGTTTTAATTTACATTATAACTTGTTGTGTTTTGTCAGAAAATGGTCCTAACTCAGATTTTGTGGAAAAAGGTCATTATCTCCCTTTAAACTTGCATTTTTATCGATGCCTGTTTGAAAATGTTACATATGATTTGGGTATGACCCGTGGTTGCCTATAATCGCACAGCGAGTAAGCATGGATGAAAGCATGGGTTCATTTGATGTAGGCCCGAGCGTTATCTTTTGTTTCGATCCATGGCTCAAACGACTAGTTTGCATCATATAACGGGCTAGTCCAGCCGAACAGCGGTGCAGTGCGCCACCCTCTCGGTCTGCCCCCCCCCCCCCCGTTTCATCCCCCGGTGTAACGCTACCCCGGGGAGCAGATGCAGCCGTGTAACGTCACGTCACGTCACGAAGGGCGTGACGCTGCTATCGGCACATGTCATCGGTGCTGCCCGGTGTCCGTTCCGTTCGGAACGGTAACTCAGGACGGGCTGCGGTGGAGCTCACATAACGGGACTCCACCAAATGTGGTGGTTTAGCTGACTGCAAAAGGAAGGCGTCGATTCGGAGAGGGCGTGGTTTACTGAGTCATATCTGGCATTGGTGACTAGTGAGTAGTGTTTGCTGAGGAGTGAGGAGTAACAGTTTGTACGAATAAATGCGATACGATTACGATAATAACGATAGAAGTGTGTCGCCTGGAATGTCTCGTGATACGATAGTGAAAAGGCGTGCTCCCTCCTTACAACGATGTCGATCTGTTATCTCTGCACGGCTCGATCAGCTGATCTGCGCGTCATCAGCTGACTGGGCTGAATCCTCCCCCAGGGGAGGACGGGTTCCCGTCCGCTGCACCCTCCCCCGGGAGCGGTCCCTCCCGCGTCCCCGTGCGGTGACATCCGTCCTTAATTGAAACGGAGCTCTCCCGGACTGACACGGGCGGCCTCCCGCGGGAGCCATTTTGATAAGTGACGGCGGATCGCGTTAATCAGTGCCGCTGCCGACACCCAGCGGGCGGAGAGTGGCACCTCTTCAGCTGCCTGTAGGGGACTGGGTGTGTCGCCCGTAGGGATTTGGTGGAGAGGGGAGGGGAGACTCAGAGACTCTGATGTGTCGACCGTGCCCGGGAAGACACGGATGCCTTCTCGTCGCTTATCTGCTTCGCTTGGGGCATAGC